AGCACGTTCCCATTTTGTCCATACATAACTAGAAACAGATTCCAGTACATTGAAAGGAATTTACTTTGGGAGAATTGTGCACATAACTGCTGTATGCCCATTGTTTTTATATTATCATTTCAATAAAACTCAGGTCATAAGAGTCACTACATTTGGGGGAGGGGGGAAATGAGTACTGATCACTGGGTCTTCAACACAAGGTTTCTTGAAAGGAGGCAAGCAAAGTTCTGCAAAACAGAAACGATTTTGCTTCTGTCCACTAAGCAAACACTGGTCAAATACTTACCGTACTAATGCAGTCAATCAAGAAAGTAAGACATCTACTTTTAAATAGTCATAAAGTAAGATCATTAAATGATATGTTATCATAATTATGGCTAAACTGAAACATCAATTGTCTTGGAACATTTCCATTACCAACAAAACCCACCTCTTTTCTGAGAATGTTTTAACAGAGGATGCAAAAACGGTTCAGGCAGCCCATTAAGTATGGTAAATATGCAAAATGATCACCCTTTCTCTCATAGGGCTACCAGATGTGCACTGCAAAAATCCAGGTGATGACCAGATGGCTGGAAAAAGTCATTTTGTCACAGATCTGTTGTGCAAGCATGATGGATCTGGCAGCTCTACCTTTGCCTTCTTTCTCTGGCCATTGATTTTACTTGCCCTTAGTAATTGCATCACATTGCCAAGTTTGACTGCAGTGTATTAAACTTATGCAGCTCCTTGTGCAATTCTTCAATATCAAAGATAATCCCTGTGACTAATCTGGAAATCACTGCTCTCATTCTCAATTTTCAGGTCTAAAAATAGGAAGAGGGGAAGGAAGATTTTCCTGAAAACTGCACAAATCCTGTATGGTGTCATAGCTGCTGCTCCTTTCTATTCCCCGGATTTGCTTCACAGGCAGCCCAGTTAACCAGGCGTCACATGCTGCACAGCCAATCTGATTTTTCAGTGGGATGAAGCCCACTGGGGGTACAGGAAAATTGAAAAGGAAAATGAGAGACTAAAACATAGGTGGCTATAAGGAGATCAGGAAAGACTATTAAAAAGCCGATTCTTTCTCATTAATGCCTTCATTTGTAGTGACACTGATATCACTTGGAAAAATACCACTGCTGTGTCTTTCATGACGGCCTTCTTGGATTTGCACAGTTTGGGTCTGCCACGGCTGTAATGTGATACCATACATAGACTATTTCAACATTGTCTAATTATAGTAAGCAATCATTAAAGCAATCTGATCAGTCATTGAACTGATGTTCCGTTTTTATGCAAAAGTGGTGGCCGTGGGGCTCTGCAGACTCAATTCCAGCATTTGATTCTGACTCCTTTGAGTAGCCATGCCTTTTCTTGGGAAAAGACATAGCTGAAAGAGTTGCAGAGCATTGCTACACTCCTGTTTTCAAGGGACTTTTTGGAATCAAATGCAAGTTACTGCCCCATTGTAAAGGAAAAGGTGTTATAACAGCCACACTATCAGTTGTACTGAGATGTGCTCATCAGAAACAAAGAGGTCTATGTAACACAGAAGGCTACACATATATTTATAATTTCTTCAAATCAGCTCACAAGGAGTGTATTTTTTAACAATCAGAATGTTTTATATTCTTTATCTAGAACCTATTTAACTCAGAGGGTTGGCACGTCTTTAAGGAATATTCTTAATGTCTCCACAAAGACTGAAAAATACTGCAAGTGATTCATACCTCAAACAAGAAATGTCTAGATAAAAGACAAACTAACAATGAGCTATGGCATTCTTGACATAATTAAAATTCAGAATAAGTTGGCAACTAATATCTGTATTTTTCTGAATTTCTCTTCACTGAGCGTTTTTAAAAAAAGAAAATTAAGTATGCTATCCATGAATGTTTCTAAAATACTAACTTTGCCTTTTTCAATTCATTAAAGAAATGCTATACAATCTCCTCCCCAGTAATTTTGTAAAAGTTTTCACCCCAGCCCCCACGCTGAATGTTCATTTGTAAAGCAGACTATGAAAAGTGTCTCTGCTGCTTCATCAGGCCTGTATATTATATTACTTTTCATTACATAACAGATTGTGTATACATGATACTCTTGACTGGGAATGGAATGGACGATTGTATGCTTTTTCCAGTTTCTCTCTTCTGGAGAAAGAACTTTCCTCACTGGTTTTAACTACAAATTTAGATTTTTGCACAAATGTCAACTATATTTAAGATTAATGTCAAACATGAGCATGAAACTGAGCCACCTCAGGGAGGCAGTGAAGGACAGGAAGGCCTGGCGCAATAGGGTTCATGGGGTCACGAAGAGTCGGACACGACTTAACGACTGAACAACAACAAAATGTCAAACAACACTAAAGGAAGAGCTGGTGTTGGGTTGAAACTCCACTTAAGAAAGAACCCAGATCCATATTCCACTACAGCTCTGTTCAGGGGAGCAGAAATACTTGCAACTGGTGGTCTGTATGGAGCTCTGTTGGTTCCTAGCTTTTTTATTTATTAAACTTTAAGGCGCAATTTTATCTAATATCGCTCGCCGTCGCAGCACAAACTCTCTGCAAATTACTTGGGGGAACCTGGAATACCACTTCCTGCTATTAAGTTAGGGTAAGGCAGTTTGGAAGCCACGTATAGATGAGCAGTCCAGTTTAATTCTTGAAGGAAAAGCACAGAGTAATACGTACACCAAATTTCACAATATGGGATGTTGTTTTGGAATTTAAGATTACTTTCGAACCGTTATGGAATACTTGGAATGAGCATGATAGCTTGAGGTATCCTTCAAGGTTCACAGCTGAAAGCTGAAAATTAAAACTATGACAGAGAAGAGCAGGTGGCTGTTTCTACTGTAATGAAGGAAGGCAGTAGTAATGGGCTTCTCCTATCCTTTGGGCCCAGTTACTACAAATATGATTTTTAACCGCTGCTGCTTACTATTGGATCTGCACAGAAGAAACGGCTAAGCAAAGGCTCCTTTGCTGTTCGTTTGGAAAACAAGGCAGTTGCCTGTCCCAGCTACCTCCATTTTTATTAGGGAGAGAAAAGGGGAAACATTGGGTTAAAATCAGGATTACCACTCAGACTGGTACCTTTGCAAACTAGGATCAAATCTGACAAGTTTCTGGTGGCCTGGAACACCCAGAGCACACCCACAAAACTTGGATCAGGGCTTGTTATTATTTCTTTGCCACTAATCCTCTTTCCCTTTGAGTCCTATGGCATGCATAGGCTGCTGGACAGAGGGCGAGGTGGTCTTCTCTATTTGTGTAGAGTATGGAGATACTCTTGTTTTGTTTTTCAGAAGATACTGATGCTCTCCCTTGGAAATCTACAAGTGAGAGAACAAGATGATTGGTATGCTATTGGGAATGCTACTCATCAGACAATCAAGGAAGACTTCCTCCTGAGCAGTGGATTTTTGGAAACCCAAAAAGTATGTTATCAGTATTAAATGCTTAAGTATCATTGGGTTCTGAAGCTCTTCAATAATTTGAAAATACAGATTTCTATTGATGTGAAGCATGGAAAGGTAGTTCTAGAATGTCTCTGAACTATATATTCACACATCACCTTGTAATCATAGACTTCTGAACCAATCCTGTAGAAAGCTATCATCCATCTTCACTAGTAATATAAATTTATAAAGGAAAATAAATATTCCTTTAACTGAAGCCTTAAATATAGAATTTACTTTCAGTTCTCTCTTTTTAATTATCCTTTTTCTCTTTCTTCTTCTCCAGGCATTTCTACACTAGCAATTTATAGTGTCTTCTACAGTCATCTAACCATCGTTACACCGAAATAAAAGCTATCTTGACACTTTTATCACTTCAACAATGGTTTGGTGATGCTATGAAGACACTATAAATCACTAGTGAAGAAATGACATCCCTCTGTTCCATCACCAAAAGATAGGCATACAGGTAGTCCTTGCTTAGAGACCACAATTGGAAGTGACAACTCCGTTGCTAAGCGCTATAGTCGCTAAGCGGAAAATCACATGACCATGATGGGCTTGCTTCAGTCGTTAAGTGAAATATCACGTGACAGCAACTTGCAATTTTACTCCCATGTTCTCCATGAACTCTGCTTGCCACAAGCCATTTGGGAAGCATGCAAATGGAGCTCATGTGACTGCAGGATGCTGCAATGGTCGTAAATGCAAGGATTGTTCGTAAAGCTGGCTTTTTACACTGTCATAACTTTAAATGGTCACTAAATGAGGCAGTCAGTAAGCAAGGACTACTTGTAATAGCCATCAATTTATTTTATTTATTTAAAAGTCTGTATGCTGCTCACTGTCATTTTGTGACTCAAGGCAGTTTATAAACATTAATATACAACAGAACAAAAACAGCAGCATAAAGATTCACTAGTGTAAACTTCTCTAAGTACAGTAACGCAGTTTACTGGTTCTTCCTCACAAAATTATAAAGACCAATGAATAAGATAATTAAACTACATAAGAAAATATCACATCTATGTGATATTGCAAGAAGACTTTTCTAAAACGCAAGAAATAATGAATTACTTAATCCCTATTTCAGACTGTTAATGTTCATGCGACATAAATAACTAATATAGTTATACTTTTAGGAAGCAAGCTAATAAAAGTAAAACGTGGCTGGTAACTTTTAGAGGGTACCAGCCAACAAGGCTGAACCATATTCACAATCTCTTTTGAAGAAAGTCACAGGCTTATATCAAGTGTGACTAATTGCCCCAAATTGATTCAATATAGAGATGTGCATGTTCTGCCTAGCAAAAGTTGATTACAAGGAGAAAAGCTTATGGGAGCAAATCACGCAAAAGCTTAATAGGTAACCTCTTCTGGGGATTATATATCTTGTACTCACAGGAGCTTTAACTTTTGTTTTTTACAGGACTCAATGTCTCTTGCATACTGTTTGGAAACTACTATCAAAGATACTGCTGGTGTTTATTCCCAAGAGGCTGACCTGAGAAGTGCCAGGGACGCTGCCTGGAGCATCCATTTCTTACCTTTGCAGGTTCTCTCACTGTCCATAGGCTCATAGCCAGCACGGCAGGCGCATCTTCCAATCGCCACCATCCACTCGCCTTCCCCATTGCAGTGCAACTTCACTCCAGAGGAGCCAGTGCTGCTGGCTTCTTCAGCGTCAGCCACACAAGTTCCTGGAGCCTCCACCAAAGAAGTCCTTTCACCTCCAGCGAAGGTCTCTGGGAAAGAGGCGAAACCCTTCACCACTGCAGGGCATTTGTAGAAGAAAACCTGGACAGCCACCAGAGACATGCACGCCCCAGAGTCCTGAAAAGCCAGGTAGAAACCCTTCTTGGCCAGTGGCCCAAAACTTCGCACCTTGACGTTCATCTTCACCACCTTCCCAGAGCTGTCCACCTGAGAGAAGCTCTCATCAGCGGCGATTGTATCCACTTTGGTCCAGGGGCCCTCGTGCCATTCGGGATGCTCGGGAGTGGCTACGTCAGCCTCCGATTCATGATAGTAAAGGGTGAAGGTCTCTTTGCAGGAAGAGGCCACAGTCCTCATGCTGGCACAGTCACGAACAGAGAAGCGGAGGCGGATGTGAACCCTGTGGGCTCCACGGCGTTCTATGAAATGAGTACGCAGCCAATTATTCTGTCCCGGCTCAGCAACGTTGCACACCTCAAATGTTCGAATCAGATGCTTCCTGTCATCCAAGACACTCACCTCATCCCACTGTATGGAGTTGGGGAGGGGAAGGGAGGGGAGGAGAAAGGAGACAAGCTGGAAATGTAAATCCTATGGGATTGGGAATAGTTTTCTTCTATGTATGAGAACAACCACCTGGATCCTGCCACAGAATATGTTATTTATTTGTTTGTTTGTTTGTTTGTTGGATTTCTCCCCCCGCCCATCTTCCCCACAATGATATAATACTGATTTGGCCTAAATTTTAGCTCTACCAAGTTCAGAGGTTTCTCAGAGTTTAGTGGGCTAATATAAGATTAATATTACTTGGTTCCCGCACTCCCAACACCAAAGACTTTCCTTACTCTATGCCTTGTAGATTAAGGGACTGTTCAGTTTCTTGGAAATCATTTGCACATCTCTTCTGCCCAGAGTAATTTCTTTCTATACCTTGTTTCCTCCCAAAAAAAACAAAACAAAAGATTCTAGGATTGTTTAATGTCCTAGACTTAGATAAAAATAGAACAACTCTTCTGGATGAGGAATAAGTCCAACAACTTTTCCTTCCATGTCATCCATGAAAAATTTGATATTAAAAATCACTCCCCACACGTCAAATCACTCTAGATTGTATGCTTTTTTACTTAATGCATATGTGTTTCATTAATTACCATCCATCTTAGGAAAAAAATAATTGTACCCAAATATGCTGCTCTTTGAGCTTCCTTAGTGGGAGGGAAAAAAAGGAAGAAGTAAACTAAAAAGCAGTTGCTTTTCCCCAAAGATTCTGAAAGTTCCTCCAGGCTGAGGAGGCACTAGACCCTTTTTCTCAGCTCGTTTTTTTAAAATGTTGCTTAGATCATCTTTAAAGTAATAAACCAATTGAAGACTTCTAAAACTGTGAGTAGAGATGTGCAGAATATTCTACCAGCTGTTCCATGTGTTCCAAGCATGAAGCCCATACTCACATTCTATGAGTTTTAAGTCTGAGAATTTTTTTTTTCTGATTTTGCCTCAGACTGCAATCAAAATTTCAAGAGAGAGCATTTTGAGTGGTCCAGGTGCTATGCTGTTTTATGGCCTGTGACTGACTTGTCCTTTCTCCAGATGTTTCCAGCCTAGCTGGATGGATCAGATACTAGTCACATAACTGCTGCTATCAGCTTAGGCAAGAAGTGATATGGGACTAGAGTGCTGAGGGGAACCAGCCATTTATGAAGTATGTGAATCAGGACCTGAACGTTTTGGAAGCTTTGTTGTTTCAGAAGATCTGGACTGCTGTGACTGACCAAATGGAACCAGAGTGGATTAATACTGCTACTGGAGCTTTGCTGATAAGTGTCTGGTTGCCTGTGTTGACCAACTTCCCCAACCTCTCTTCCCCCTTCTAAAAAAGGAGTCTTTCAAAGTCCTGTAGTTTAGCTTTGAGTAGGGTAAGGACTGGTAGGTTAGAGAGGAGAGAAAGAAGAAAAAATCTTTCCCAAATAAGACCTGCTTACTTACTGGGGAAGTTAATTCTTCCACTAACATGTTCTATACTAGTACTGACAGACACTACTTTCTGTGTTGGTTTGGTTGACATGGTGAGTTTTGGCTCTTGTATCTTGCGGATATTTAGTTTTAGGGCATGCCTAAAATTGAAACATTATAACTTGGCTTGGTTCATTTGTTAAGCTTTGGGCATGTTCTTGTGTAGCGTTGATGTTGAGCTTTCAAAGTGTATTTAAATTCAGTTTTTGCTGGCGTGGACAGTCTGCTAATGCAGTAGTAATACTCTATTTAATTTTTTTGCCATGGTAATAAATTATTCAAGCAAGAGTTAAATGGCAGCACTTTTTTGTAGCCACACAAATCTAGCAACGAGAACAATAACACAGTTGCTTCTTTCTGAGTTTCTCCTTCTTAGGGAGGTAAGATTTCCACTCACAAACAAAGAGTGCAACATTTGCTAGATGTGTTAAAAAGGTGGTAGAATCTCCTAATTGCTATCTACCATGGAACCTATAAAATGGTCAAAGGGATCCATTATTTCTTAAGAGAATTTTTAAATATTTTTCAAAATAAAAATCACCCCATGGGAATTTTTTACGTAGGTAGGGTAGCAGGTAGCAATCAGTACATACTACCATCCCATCTATCATCGTGGCCATGGGATGAAAAACAAAGGTCCGTACAGCTTGTTCCAAATTCCTGTTGTTTTCTATAGCCAAGCGCTCGACAATTTTGAGGTTTCTCCCATCAGAATACAGACCATTGGATTATTTGAGATATGTCCTATTGGATTACAGTCAAATTGGAATATACAGTTGGATTTTTTAAAGAGTTATTACTGTATCCCAGACTCAAAGGAACACATGGATACTTTTTTAAGTCAGCCTTTGAGTTTCCAAGAACTTTTTGTCAGTCAACAGGATTAAAAATCCAGAAAAAAATGCAGAGGGGGGGCATAGTTTAAATACTTTTTATATTTTTAACTTTTTCTGCCCATTTTCTTCTGAATTTTTAAGCAAATTCTGAGACTTATATTTGTTGCCTAATAGAACATTGTCTTAATAAGACATTTGGATTCATTTTTCTCAGACAACACTCCTGATTTTGCTCTTCTTTAGTAGCTATCCATAAGTCTTTCCCTTGTTTTCTCTTCTCAACAAAGCCATCAGAAAAAATAGCATAAAGAGACATTAGGAAAGTTATGTGTTGTAAACTACACCACAGCCACTCTCTGGTACTATCACCCCAGCTGGAAAGACTACCAGGCTGAAAGTGCTATGGTGGTTCAACCGCAATATTGTCATATATTTTCCTTTCCCCTTCAAACTGGGGCTACCGAATGAGTTTGAAGACCAGGCTCTAAATATGGATCTCCATTCTCTTTTGCACCTATAATTCGCATGGAATTAAAGGAAGACTATATCAGCCTAGTCTAGGGCAAAAAGTGCAGATTATTCAGCACTGATCATTGTTGCTCTCTGGCAATGCTTTGTACAATGCTCCTTTAAAAAAGACAAAATTTTGCCCTTAAAGAAATAACAATTAAATCTATTCCCTTTTGTGGATCTAATATGAGAAGAATCCTGTCTTGTCTCCCCTTATGGTGATACTCCAAGAAGTTGCCCAGACAGAAGATCCAAAACCCTGGCAGAGATAAATAATGGTCAGACAGAGAAAAGCAGTCAAAAACTTTACAATCCTTTCTAGTTTTCTCTGCTTGTCTTTGGAGGGGGACACCATCAGAAATCTCAGCCAATACATCTTGGCTTCTCTGTGAGTATTGGTTATGTGCAGAGCGTAACATTACCAGGTCTTGAACTGGTGGGCAATTCCCAGCAAAAGAGAATGAAGGGAAGCACCTACCCCATCAGGAGGATGGGCAGTCCATCCAATCTCCGAGGTCTCTCCTGTTGTATCCAAAAGGATTTCTGTTAGAGGAAGAAACAAATAAAAATTATGATTTTAGGAGACAGTTCCAAATGACAGCTAATTCCTTCCCATGTCATCTCCTGAGGGCCAGCACAACTGCTAGTCTCAAACAAGATTTGCTATCAAACATGGGATCAGGGCTGGGGGAACTGTGAGTGAATTTGTCAGCTTTGCAAGTGACTTCTTGCAAGTCTTCAGGCATGATTTTTAGTTAAGTGGTTTCATCCATTACATGCAACTACCTCATATTTTGGGAATGAGTCATATGTACTGCATTTATCACCTGTTTAATTCCAATTTCTATTGAAGGGCTTGTTTGCAAGAAGCAACTATTGCAGATTTTGCTTTTACAAACACTGAATTCTTCTCATATTACCCATTCTCAAAGTCATTACCTTAAAGACAGAGTTAGTACCTATTTTCTTCCTTTGGTGAAGACACTAGCAATGGGGGAAGGCAGCTTTAGTTCACTGAAACAAGTGTGGTTTCTGAAGGGATAACAGTGGAGATCAAAGCCCCCCTCTCCCTTTCCTACCCTAATATCTCAATTAACACTTAAGAGTAACTTTTGAATAAAAACATAACTTTTAAAGATACATGTAGTTTGATTTTCAAAAGGCAGACCAATGAATTAATAATAAGTCTTTCAAGTGATTATGTAATGGTATGGGAAAGACCTTGGGAGACCCAGCAAAGAGATGCTGCCTAGGGAATGGTCAGATAAGAAATAGTGTAGCCCTCAGCTACACAGTGGACAGAGCAAGAGCTTTCAGACTTGCAAGGTTATGTTAATGTAGCCTTACAATAAAGTAGAACTAGCTCATCTAGTCATGTTTCCTGTCTGGTCTACCTGGTAAGGTTGACATCAACCTTGCAAGTCTGAAAGTACAAATCCCCTACCATCTCCTTTACAGCCTGAGAAGCTAGGGAGGGTCCGTTCTGAGCTTCTTGCTCTAGCCACTATGCAGCTGCAGGCTATGCCCTCTTTTATCTGACTGTTCCCTAGCAGCATCTCTTTGCCCCATCTCCCAAGGTCTTTCCCACATACCATTACAAATTGTGTAACTTCATCCAGAGCAAAGGATGACCCTGGAAACACAAGTTATACCTGCAGAGAAGCAGTATAGCAATGAAAGCTCTTTAGCAAAATGGCAAAGAATTACAAAACACAGAATGTTTTTTAAAATTGTCATACTTACAGTAGAAACAAGAGAAGCTACTTATTTCCCAGCACTTCCAGGAATGGCCATGTAAACACATGTTATGTGGACACATGGGTATTCTTCAGTACTTTTCAAAGAGCCCTAACTTCTCATATTATATATAATATAATAACTCCTATTTGCATCCTGCACTGATCTGGTAAATTCCCACAGATCTTTAATTAAAAAACAGGCCAGAAATTTGCTGGATCAAAAATCAATTCCTAAAACCAATTGGACCACTAATCTCTAAGTCAGCACCCAAATCTTCTTGTGTCTAAAGTGGCCCAGAGGGGGAGCCAGTCTAAAGGGGGCTCTCACAATGGTCAAAGGACAGAATTGGTCTTCTCCTGCTTATCCAGGACCATAGTGAGCAAAGGGCAAGAAATGCTCTTACACAGACTGCGCCAACTTCTAGAATATAACCAAAGATTAGGCCTATATGTAGACCACTGCCCATTTCCAAACCAATGCTTCTCTTTTACAACTAACTAGCAAGAGCTGGCTTAAACAAGACACTGTGCTGTTTTAGCAGAAAGGTATTTTGGATGAAATTTTAAGCCAACAAAATAAGTTTTGATTTCCATCAAAATGGAAACTTTATTTTGGACAACCAACTTAACATAATCTTGGAGATTTTATTTAAGGAAATTCTTAGCGTGGGAAGTGAGTAAGAGAAGGACAAACATTTCCCTGCATTCTGCAGCTGGCCAGCATGATGCTCCCCAGATGGTTTGTCTCCGGTGACCCAGGTATTGTTTTTTTTAAGAAATGGAGAGACAGAAAGCACACATTAATTTTTCATGGGCTAGCAATACATATAACCTGAAGCTGACAGGGCTCTCCTCCAATAGGGAATATTTAAACAGCCAGGATGCATAGAGACAGAGGAAAGGAAGGACACATATAGCAACCAGAATACTAGATCCCAGTTGATAAGGGCTAGAAAAATGGTTCACAGATGGGGGTTTAAACACATCAATTCCCCTTCTCCCCATCTTTCACATTTTTGTACTGCGCAGAGAAATAAAAACTGTCTATGGAACTTGGACATCTCAGGACTCTGGAATCTTGTATAGGAAAATGAAGGATTTTAGTACAGTGGCAAAGAAAAGAAAATCTATCACAAATTGAGATAGAATGGTGTGATTTAGCAAACTGAGATCAGTTGTAGGCAGTACTGAACAGGTTACTCTAGCCTCCAAAATTAATTTAAAAGGTACATTTAAAAAATGTGTATTCAAAAAAAGGGCTTGCAATATATACAAAAAATGTGTATTAGGCACAGCTGAATTTGTCAAAAGTTTCCATTAGGAGCTTTGCTGTTTAAAATTACATCATGGAAAGTTGTATAGAAACATGCATGTATTTGTGGAAATTGCACATAACAATTATTTTCCACTTTTTTTTTTAAATCAGAAAATCTAATGAAACAGAATAATACATAAATCCTTCTGACATGAATTTAGATTGATTTGCTATCTCAGGCTCAGCTGACAACATTACTCTCTGTAAAGTCTTATATTTAAAGGCATTTGATTTTTAGTTTTTCTTTTAAGATATATGTATTTATATATTGCTGACTATCTAGAAAATTCCCAAGTAAGTAAAACTGCTTTATTATTTTTTGGTGGCCCTGTTTTGTTTCTGAATTAATCAGCACCCAGGTACCCATGTTTGCTATTAAAAGATTAGGATATTGATTTTCTTCTTCTGCTGCTCCTTAACATTAGCCTCAGCATCCTTTATCACCGTCCTTACCATGCACTGCTCCACTGATCTGTCAAATATGGTAACCCTCCTTAAATCAGAGCATGTGTATTCTTCTTAGTCACTCAGATATGACACAGATTTAGGTTAATGGCTCACTTCAGTATCAGACTACTTAGGACAGAGAAGGTCATCTTCATATCCACGTTTGCCTGCACAGTAACCCCTTGAGAGAACGGAAAGTATATTTGGGACCAATAGTTGCATTTTTTCCCCAGAAAACAGATATGGGTCTAGCTCCTCTGCATAAAATCATTTCAAACTAAACTGAAAGGTCAGATCACACTCCTCCAATTTGCAGAAGAATATATACAGGTAGTCCTCATTTAGCAATCACAACTGGGACCGGCAACTTGATCGTTAAGCGAAGCGACCACTAAGTGAAACCACAACTGTGCTTCAGCTTTCCTTTGCTTTATAGACCTGAGAAGGTCATAAATGCAAGGAGTGGTCATAAAGTTATTTTTTCATCACCACTGTAACTGTGACTGGTCACTAAATGAGGCAGTCGCTAAATGAGGACTGCCTTATCTCATCTTATTAACTTTGACAGACAAAACACAATGGAGTACTTTGAGATTTGATAGTCAATAGTTATAGTAAATAAAAAAATGGATCCAATAGCACTTTTAAAGGGAAGTAATGGAGCATAAATGTGTGTAGATTATAAAACTTTTTACAGCTATGGATCTAGAAGTAGAGAAAGGACCATATTCAGTTGTGAAGACTGATGGCCTTTTATAAGGTTCCTTAAGTATAGCTCTGCCTGGACAATTTGGCTGGTGGATATTTCTTCATATACCTCACACAGGAAAAGAGAAATCTGGCCCCTTCAAAATTATACAGGCCTGTTTTTCTGATAAAATTACAGTGATCGTACATTTTTTATTATAAAGGACAATCCTTTATTTCAGAAAACTGTCCTTTAGATTTACTGTATTTATTTTTCAAAAACTCGCTTTTGTCCTTTATTTCGGTCAGTTAACTTTTACCGTACAAACGGTACAATTTAATATACAGTCTTTCACATTCATGTGAAAAATATGGAAATTACATGGTCTTTTTAAAATAAATGTACATATTCTGTTTGATTTTAGATATGTTTATTAGAATATGCATTTTTGTAAAGTTTTTCTTGGTTTTGCTCTTGAATTTTCCTTGGTAAAGCAAAGTTATAAACATACACAATAATTTTTTTATACTTATGAACCTCTTTCAGATCTGCCCCTTTTTCAGGTTTGACCTTTAATTTTTCCCAAGAAAATATCATCACTGTTGATATAGTGCGACTCCCAGGCACAGCATTCAAAACAATCATAGGCTCTGTGACCTGCCAGTCCAAATGGGGCATGTCAGCCAAGTCTGTTTGCCTGACTACCAGAAGCTCTATAAATGTACTTTTGTTTCATGCTTAAAACTGCTATGTTGTTTTGGGGGGGGGGGGGCAGGGAGCTATCGAGCACTGAGCAGATCATACCACACAGCTGATGATTGATGTTTGATTTCAGGATGACAACTTTCCCTCAGCTGTGAGCCACATTTTCAAAGACAATGTTTCAGAAGGCAAAAACACAAGAGACAGGCCCATGACGATGTCACAAGTGGATGGGGCTTAAGGATATTTCTGAATCCGACACTATCTCTGGATCTTCAGCTGGTGGTAGTGCCAGTGGTAATAAAAAGGAACGCATTTTCATGCATCAGCTTCATCATTCCTTAGTCATTTTGATTTGGCAATAGTAATCCATGCCTTGTCTGGATTATGTTTAGAATCCTGCAGTAGGCTCTACTGGTCTGCAATAGTTTTACTTATTTTATATTTATTAGCCACATTTCTTCATTAAAGCAGAATCTTGCAGATTCAATAATAAACGACTGGACCTGTACACATAAGAGACAAAGAATGAATGAACAGAAACCAGCTGTTTTCTGGAATCAATTGAAGGTGACAGGCTTAATTTTTAAGCTTTAAACGTCTTCAGTTTGGTTATCTCAGAGAACATCACTATGAAGCTATTCGGGCATTA